CATTCTGTATCGGGGAGTAGTGTGATATCTACTGAACTAATGTAACTCACATTTCATTAACTATTTCAGATCAAGAAAACAAGACGTAAATCCCGATCAACAAAAGGATTGTGAATAATTCATCACCCAAACTCTCTTCAAAAGTTAGTGAAGATCGTCGTAAAATACTCATTTATTTACTTTTTGCTTATTTCCTTAATTTTCGTAATTTCTTTTATAATGATTTTTTCCGTAACCCTATTGGACATTCTAAATTATTGTATAAGCAACGTAAACCCTAAACTCTATTGTTTCGCTTCCGCATTTAATTCGTGACTTTATTTCCTTTTAAGTTTCGAACCTTTACACAAACATCCACTTCATCAAGAGTCCAAATGTTCCTTATATATTCACTTTCTCTAAACCCAAATCAAAATCTACTTCTAAACCCAATATAAATTGTCTCAAGCAAACCCACCACCTTTTGCTAAAGCCATTTATCCAAATTAAGCCCAACTCAGGTTAGCCTATTACTCAAATTAGTAAAAAGTGTGTTGCTGTGTATATATATAAAATAAAAAAGTTAAAATAAATTTTATAGAAGACTAAAAAATATTTTTTTCTAAACAAAATTTGCACGAGTATTTATATGAATTCTTATACGAATATAATTTAACTTTTCTAATAACAAAAGACAATTTCTTATATCATTCAAAAAAATATAATTTTTAAATAAACTTAATATAAAATATCTAAATATTTAATTAGATTTACTATTTACTAGAATCGACTGAATCGTAAAAATCAACTTGAAAACAAGTGATTTAAAGTTGATCCACTACCAATTCTTATTATTGTTACATTGCATTTGGTTTAATTCAAAGTTAATTCTCAGTAATTTTCTAGTTCAGATTTTTATATCACTAATAATATGTTTTTTAAAAAAAAAATAAATATCACTACTAATATGTTGATTAAAACATAGTTTGTTGTGTTTGAGTTACCACCACCTTGGTTTAAGTTCCTTGATGATAGGAATTCAATCCCCATCTTAAATTTACTAGGAATTTGATTCCTACCATTAAAGAATTTAAGGTGGGATAAGTTAAACAAAGCAAATTATGTTTTAGTTGTGCATTAATAAGACTAATATGAAAATAAAAGCTAGAATTAAAAAAAAAAACTGATTGGGAATTGAACCAAACATAACCTAATGCCATGCAAGTACTCATATTTGCATAAGGTTTTCCTTTTTTTATTCGTATAATGAAGTTTTATGAGAGATTCATGCTTACCAAATTAGGAAACTTTAGTTTCTATTTTCCTTCTAGGGATTAACTTAGGTCTAATTCCCAATATACTAGGAACTAAGACTTTTATTGTAAGAATGAAACTTCTCCTAGATCCTAATTCAGGGCTCCAAATAGAAAGCGTATGCTGTAGTTTTGGTATAATTTGCTCTCTCTTTCTTAATTCCTACTTGTCATTGACTTTATCAGTGTTTAGCTAGGTTCTCCTGTTCAAAAGTCAACGAACAATATCTAACACTAACTACATATATCCAGAACTTTTGTTCAATCATAGAACACAATGACAGCCTTCATCCCATTGTCTCCTTTCCAACATTGACCACCCCATGTTACAAAGCAATGTTTGTTATCAGTCTCCTAACAGATTAACGCAATCTGAAGCTCAGAACTGCACTATAGTGTGCCTCCACATGGCACTAGCGTTGCAACAAATCATAACCTAGTTCCTGCCACATGATGACGACATTACTAATGTGATAACAACAGTAAGCTCCACAGTAAACAAAATTATATGTTTATATTTCTCAATCTTTGATCCATTCAAACTAAAAGCTTAACCAAGTATCATGAAGCCTATCTTTTTATTTCAAAAAAAAGTATCATGAAACCTATCTTGCCTTTGGATGTCATACCAAGACAATGCAATGCAATATTCATGTCAGAAAAATCCAGCAATCAATCAGTCCAAGGTCTCTAATTCTGCACATTATTATCAGACTTAGATATCATAGTCATTAACAGCTCGCAAGAAATTCTGTGAGAGCAGGAAATGAAACCAACAGGAAGACTTGAATAACATCAGAGGACAGCTGCAGCAAAAAATGCACAGAATAACCAAATCAACCACTTACATTAATGACAGAGCCACAGTGAATAATTTGCAAGCATCTACAAATGAAGAAAGCAGGAATGCTTAGTCTCCTCGTCCTGAAAATGAAACTTAACAGAAATGCTATCTGAAAATTACAAAATTTAGACAGAAACAAAATCAATACATAAGAGAGAGATGATATTGCTCACCAAAAGACAGAAACCTTGTCTGATTTGTTTATCTACCGCTTTGTTCGCCGGGCAAAGTAGCGAAGGGCTATCCTAGAAAATTGAGTTAATGTGAAAAACATTTGTAAAATGGCACGCCCCTTGACAATCCCTTCCCTTATGCCCCTGGCAGTTCTAGCTAATACTGGTCCAGTTTCATCATTCCTGTTCTGGTTCACTGCCACCACTCCCTGCACCGAAGCTAAGCAAGTATAAGATGGAGTAAAACTCCCGACTCCGAATCCATTTGAGCGCGTATAGAAAACAAGGAAAGAGCTGCAAATTTGTAAATAACCTAATGGAGCCATGTTCGTTAACCCGCGTAACCTCTCTTCAGCTAAGCGAACAGCTCTCGTTGAACGTCTGACACCTTGCGTAATTTCTTGCCTAAAAATGAACACGAAGGAGTTTGATGATTTATACTGCAATGAACCGGAAAAAAAAAAGAGATCGCTGTTAGTTTCAAAACACTAACCCTAAATCACTGAGTTCCATAGTAAGGTCACTAATCTCCATGCCCGATAACCGCACAGCAGCCATGGTATCAGGAAGCTCCTCCCTCGTGGCATCCATCAGCTTCTCCAGCGATTCCGCTGCTCTCTTGAAAGCCTATTTAATGGCAGATCGGGGAATTAATATATAACATATCAATCAGTATAATAAAATTGTAACAGAATCACTCAGCAGAAGAAATACAATGCAGGTTAAGTTCAAACCAACAGGGTTGGGATTGCAGAGCAAAACAGCCAGGTAGCCGAAACAGCTGCCTGCACAACGAAATACGACTCAAATTTTCAAAAAAAAAAAACGAAGAGAACACAAAAATGGTTCCAATCGACTGAAATCACGTCGGAGTTAAGAAAAAATACCGCGCAGGCGATGACATTGAAGAAGAGGATGTGGCGTTCGGTGAGTCTCCACGGAGTAGAGAGGTGGAGAGGAGAGGATCCAATGGAGGATGTGAAGTGAGACGAAACGAAGGGCTCTGATGGTTGTGATGAGGATGAAGAAGCAGGTGAATTGTTGGCTGATGGAGCAGCCAGGGAAGAGAGTCGGCGATTCGGCAAGCGGAGATGGAAGGGGCGGAAGCGGACATAATCATTGGTTGAGAACCGAATGGGAGGATTGAATTTAGGGTTTGAGACCTGCAATCTCACTGCACCCAACATTTGCCTGGCCTCCTTCTCCCTCTTCACAGCCGGCGCTTCAACGGATTACCCGTCTACTTTGTCCTTCGGCTTTCATTTGGCATAAGCAACCGGTCAAATTATTTTGTGTTGCAAAACTATACACATACATATACATGTATGTATATATATCAACAGGTGGCTGGACTTAATACTTATGGCCACGGCAGTATATTGTAATTAATAGCGTTCTAATGTAATTTTATTTTTATTTTTAAAAAATTTATAATTACTAAGACAGACGTGTACATATATAATGATGAATTAAACGTCTAATAGTGATAAAAATAAATTTATGTAATTAATAATTTTTAATTTATGTGCTATTTTTATTTATTTATAATAAATATGTACATTCGTACTTATAATAATAAATATGTTTTGTATATAGTAAGATCAATTATAAAATGTTTATAATTGAAAAGATGAACTCAATATTGTATTACTCTTCTTATTTAAATATGTATATATAAAAGAAAAGTATAAAGTTGTTATCAAATAACATGTAGATCATTAAAATAATGCTATATGTAATTTCAATTCTTATAATAATTAATATATATATGTATCATATTTTATTTATTTTTTAAGTATTTCTTGATTCTTCTTCTATTTCATAAGAATAAGGACGAACGATATATATTTAAATGTTGGAATCAGCATAATTGTAGAATGTTAAAGTTTTTGTGTCATTTCTACTAAAAACCCTTGTGTTAATTTATTAATTAAAGTGAGGTATATTAGGCTTCTATAGTTGATTTAAAACGAAAGTTTTGAAAAATATGTTAAAGAGATAAACCCTCATTCATGGCCTCTACATATAAATTATAATTATAATTATAATATATGTTACAATTACAGTTTTTTCATAAATTAAACATGGTAATATCATAATAACTATGTTAGTTCTTTATTACATATATATCAAGACGAACATCAATTTATACTTTTAATTTTTTTTTTTGTATTAATGTAAAACTTTTTAAAAAATTATATTCTCTTTCTGCTTCCTCAACTTGTTATTGAAATCAATAAATTATTTTCGTTAAATTTTTACTATCTCCTCTGGTTAGAGAAAAAAATCCCCTAATTTCTTATAATTTTGTCTCTAATTTAGATGTCAATTTCTCTCGATCTCTTCTAGTCAGTGGTAGGGAATATTTTCAACCCAGAAGAAACCTATCATAATCTACAACAAGAACCAAACATAATAGTGGCTGACAATAATAATCATGCAACAACGAAAAACTAATGTTAACATGGAATGATTTTTGGATATGCCCTTAAGGACGATACTCTCATGGCAAATGCAGTAAAAAGAGCAGATGTGCTAAGGAGACGCGCGTGCACGGCGGGCTTGTGCACGTGCGAGGAAGTCACGCACAAATAGAGAGGAGACGCACACTGTACACCACACACCTGCAGACACGTGCAAGCTGCACACTGCACGTATACGGGGATGCCACCCACGTAGGTGAGGCATGCAGACATGATGTTGCTATAAGAAGGATTCTTCTTCTGATTTTCTCCATGTGATTTAAATCTAAAATCATACGAGATAATATCCAGCTTATTTTATTAGTATTTTTATAATATTTTAGTATAATTTCTATGTTGTAAAACACATCTTTAGAATTCAGTAAATTAAAGTTTTTGTTTTAAATTAGCTCTGCTAATTTTTGGAGTTCTTCAAGCGTTTTCAAGTTAGAGAACTTCATATTATTCCATTGAGTTGGGAAGTGAGATCAACTTACTGGGTAAAATGTGACTTCTTTTCTTATTCTTCTTATTTTTTTCAATTACCTGAATAAATCTTCAATACATTGATTGTTATTCTAATAGGAAATGTTTAATTTTGGATAATTAAGTTTTGAATTGTTGAATATAGTAAGCTCGTGATTGAGTTATTTTTGATCCATTGAATAATCATTCTCCACCCCTTTGCACGTATGTATAACTTCTATGTACGCGTCACGTGTGCGGCTTGCTGCCCCGCACGAGTGCGTTGTCCAATGAGTGGGTGCGTCTTGGGTGCGGGCTACTCACCGGGTGCCTTCACTTGCACGCCTAGTGGGCCTCCAAGCCCACATCACAGCTCAGGCTTTTTTCCCTTGCTGTTATCTCTTTGGGCCGAGTCTCTCCATAATCGTGAGCCCTTGATGCTTTATTATTTTGGACCAACATTTAGACCTCTCTAGTTGGGCCAACAATGGACTTTTCTTGCAATTCTTCAAGCCCATAAATCGCCATTTGGGTCTTAAGTCTTCTTTAAAACAACTTGGTTTATTTTTTAGAATAATCTTAATTAGGAAAATAGTTAGAGATGATGTTACTTTTCTTTTTGGCCTATTCTAATTTAGGAAACTTGGATTTACTTTCCAGTTTAAGACTTAAGAAACAAAAGACTTTTGGACTTACTTGCCTATTTGGAACAGGACCTGTTAGAATTTCCCTTTTGGCGTGGTTTCTTTTTCTTACATGGGGTTTCGTCACTTGGGATTCTATTTAGATTTCTGGGAGGTCTTTTGGCTTGACCTTGCTCACATCACCATGCTTCATCCAGAGTCATGTTTTAAATTGCAAATGTGGGACTTTTATTCAGAATATGAATACTTCAATTGACTACTCAGCGAAAAAGCTTTTGGAGTACTATTACTTTTTAATAAATTTCACACCATATTCATAAAAGTACAATTTTTCCTCTTGCAAATTCTCTTTTGTTGGAGTGAGTAGACTATTGTACGTTGTCTTCTTATTTCATTAAGCTCAAAGAAATTTACAAATTCTTGTAAGTTATATTTTCTCCGATGATTTGAGCAAAAATTTTTACGAATTGTCACTTTATATTTTGATGATATTTATTATAACAAATAACAGTAGAACGAATTAAGCATTGATAATGATGAATATTTTGTCGAGAAAGTCAAGTAAGATTAGAGAATAAGAATAATTTTATTGATTTAATTGATCTTAATTCTCTTGTACTTTGATGTTGTTCAACATACTTAGATGAGTTTTTCTCTTCTTGTTGGTTTAGTAAAATTAATTAGATCTTCTTTTTTCTTTTAAAATAAAAAGTATAATGTGTATCATTACAAGTATTAAGTGGATGTCAACCAAGATATTAATAAGATTTCCTAAATCTTCTATAGAGCACAAAGTATGACTCACGATAAAAAAAAAAAAAAAAAATCAAAAATTTAAAACCATCTAGTTCCAACCCAATCAAATCATCTTCCATCCTTTTAAAGGCTCTTTTATTTATTTCTTTTGACACTATCCAAAAGATTAAAAGGGAATGAGGTCCAAAATTTTTTTCTAACCATTAACATCCTTCCGTGCCCACATCTCTCTTACATTACATAACTTAAACTCTGTAACTACAGAGTTAGACCTTTTTATTGGTGGTGTAATAATTTGAATGCAATTATTTGCAAATTAGAGTATGTGCATGTGATCATTTTATGAGCAACGCTATAGATTTTTTATTCTAAAATGGAGTAACGATTTATTCTGAAATAATGTAATAATTTGAATGAAATAAGTTAAAATTGAAATTTTATTTTGAAATAAAGTAATAAAACTCAAGAAACAAAAATAGTAAATATATTTTGACTATCTTAATTAATAACTAAATTGACGGATATACTTCGATCAATTCAGTTTTAGTTATAAACCGATTGGTTCATTCAATTTTGTTAAAAAAAAAAACCGACGAGCCAACCATTGCATACCCCCATAAACTTTTCTATAAAATGGGGTAATATTGAATTACAAATTCGAGAAGTAGAAATATATTGTTATTTAGTTCTTACGTTAGTATTTATTGGGCTTAATCCAATCCTTATTTCATTTGAAAATTTTGGAGGGAAATGAAGATTGTAATAGGGACTGGAGAACGTACTGAACTTTCCTCACAGTAGTACTAAAACAGAACAAATTAAATGACTTAGGAATTGGATTTTGCTGTTTTTTCCCTGGAGAATTTTGTTAAGTAAAATAAAAAAAAATTAATGGCTTATTTTGGAAAAAATTTGGTGCTCAAATAGAATAAATAAATATATCCGTGAATTGAAAGAATAAGCTTAATATTTTTTGCAAGTTTGGTGGTAATCCCAAATAAACAGGATTTTCACTGTAATGCGGGAAATCACTGAATAATCCTGTGCAGTTATCCTTCTGAGTCTCGTCTCAGATTAATCCACAAGAACTTACTGATACTACAAACTTAAAACTTTCCAACATTAGTAGTAAACACTAGCACTTTTATTCTTCTCTAAATGTTGACATCTAAATGATAGTTCCTAAAATTACTGTCAACTTGAACTTAAATTATAACACCTCCTAAGATATCATCTTAAAAACCCTTTGAGAGAGAGAGAGAGAGAAAGAGAGATCTTCCTTGCAATTTACATCTCATATTTACAGAATAATGCGCTCAAAATTCTTGCTAACCTACTCCCACCATTTTTCCCTTCCCTACTACCCAAGCAATCTACAAACTTTAAGAACCCATATACACAGGAGAAAAAAATATGAACCTAACTTTATCTTGCAATATAAAATTAAATTATTTTTTTTTTCTCTCTCTCTCTCTCTTTTTTTTTTTCTTTCCTTTTCCCGTTATACTTTGTAATTCTATCTCTTTCCTTTTGGAGTCATCTCTTTTCACGATCTTCACTTGTAAAGGGCCTCAAGGCCAAGCTACAGCTACTTACCAGGGCAAAGCAAGGTACCAAAAGATGCAAAATAAGCTCAATCAGTCGTCATCATTTCTTATGACTTCTAAGACTGTTGCATTGCAGAAGAAACATCGCTGGCAATTCAGAAGATGCCTGGTTATGCAGCCATAGCAAGATCTATGTGCACAGGGTACAAACTGTACATCTGCTTCACAAGTATAACAGATACAGCATGTGCTCTCATCACCATCTGTTTCTTTCCCATATTGTATCCTTCCCTTGGACTCTGTCCTGCTGATGAGGCTGCTTAAGAAGTTCTCTAGCTGCCCGAGTTTTGCAAAACAAGCATCCCCTCTGAATGAGGCGGCCTGGAAATCAAAGATGGCAAAGTTAAAGGAGGCAGTTAGGATTACTAAAAGCAAAGCCAAAAAAAATAAAATTGGCATCAATGTCTATGCACTTGAAAGGAAATCTTATCAGATGGTGACTTGATCATCAAGAAAAATACCATGGAAACACAAGGGATCCCATCCATCATGTGAATATACAAATGCAAACACAAGTACCACCTAATTGCAGGCAGACAGAAAAACTGATTAAAACCAATATGAACTAACCCAATTGTACTCCAACAGGTAGTGGAATCCACAATGAACAGTATCAGGGCAGTCCATGCTTGCAAAGACATCCACAACGTCATTCTGGTCCCTGTATTCCAACTCTGCACTAGCATCTAGCAAATTCAAGATAATTCCTACAAGAGGGGCCAATATCATGCCTCGATTCATTTTCTCTATTGATTGTCCATGCCTTCTAAGAGATCTGCAAACGCACAGAAAAAGATAAAATAGCCATTATATACCTTGCTCAATTAAACAAATCTTAATGCTTTCATCTAAGAAAATACTTATAAGATACATAAAGTGTAGGTTCCAAGAAGCATCACAGCAAGCAATTAAGTTTCTTTCAATTCTGTAAGAAGGGTAAGTTAAGAAAAACAAAGTGTGATGAAATTATAGCAGTATAGCAATGTAATATCCTAAGAGCAGCTAATCAATAGATATAGATCCTCTCTAGGTCTTTTATAACTGATAAAATGATGTGAAAACAACCAGAAACTATAGCTCCATTTGACATTAAAAAATACTTTCTAATAATTTTTTTATTCTTACATACTACGGTGCATAAAAACATGTATGATAGTTAGAAACTAAAAAATCACCTGAGATTGAAAACAAAGACTTCTTGATATTTTGTAAGCTTTTATTTCATTTATAATTAAATAGCACACACATACAATCCCACGCATATTTACGTATACTATATAAATTTTTTCAAAATAAACCTCAAAATTTTTTACGAAATGAAAGAACCTCTGCTTTTAGGGGGAAGGGAGACAACAAGAAAAGGGGAGCATGCAAGAATAAAAAATAAGGAAAAGATAATAACTTCGGCTTCGCCAGCAACTTACAAATAAAAAAACTGAACATCTGATGAGGAGGTTAAATGGTTCAGAATAAATATAATCAGTTCAGTAAGCCTTCGCAGGTTTGTATCAGTTCCACAAAGAAACGCCTTAGGAATTTCACGAGTGCAGAACTCCAAAACCCTTGCAAGATTGCACGAGAGATCAAATATGACACAACATTTCCTTTGCTGAAATTCTAATACCTGCAAAACAGCCAATCTACTAAGAGACAAAAAGGTGACTTGAGGTAAAAAAGAAAAACCAAACACTTACCAGTAAAACACATACCGATCAAACAACTACAATCAAGAACGAGGAAAGCTTTTGCATTTCTTTTCATCAAAATTATTTAAGTGTAACTATACTTGATAATAGAGACAAAAATTATGTCCATAAATTGACCATACGACCCCATTCTCACACTGATACAGTTTTTCTAATTTGAATCTGGACTTGGATCAGGTTACATAGTTAAATTTCTCCAACCTCACCCAACGCACATATGTATTTTTAAAAAATATAAAACAACAAAATTGTATTAATTATACTTTTTATATAATCAAATTATATTATACATTTGTAATTATTTTTTAAAATCTCTTAACTATTAATATTTAAATTGAGGATAGCTTGGTCTGATAAAAATTCTACTTTAAATGGTTAAGAGTCGGGATAGGTCATGCGCAAAAAAGATAACCGAGTTGGGTTCCTGTCATGCAAGCCCACCCAAACCTGACAAGTTGCCATGTTGACCAACAATTGTGAATCAAATGAAGTAGTCAAACAAACATATGAACAAATAGAATGCAGTATGGCAAGAATTCAATTTCCATAAAGAAGAGAACCTGTTTAACCCAGAAAAGAAAAGGGAAAAAAGTATTAAAAAAAAAACAAGAGTGCTTGTTTTGAAATGATTGACTTAGGTCAATGACTCACATACAAAATGATGTGAGCCGAGGTAGCATAGGAGAATCCCGAGACATGGAAGACAATTCCGCAAGCAAGCATGCGCCCGCAAGCAAGAATCCTGCAGCAAGTAAATTCCCATGGCATGTGAGAGACAGGTGCCCGCGGCTTGGGAGAGGAATTCCACGGGATTGACAATTCCCGCAGGATGGGGGATTCCTGCAACCACAAGGAATCCTGCAGCATAGGCATGGGAGAGTTCCGCCCAAAATCAAGCCCACAAGAGACCCAACGGCAACTTCAACACTTGGACGTGCAAGATTATGGACTTAGACCATTGGGGAAGAGAGTTATGATGCCTAATGTGCCTATCACAAAATCAAGGTCCAAAAACCTCCAACAAGCCTTTCAACTATTGGTTCAAGAATAGATTAATGAAGAAGAACACAAGTTTGAGTCCAAGACAAAGGCCCATGACCCATTTGGCCATAAACGGAGTCGGCCATGTTTCCTCCTAACGTTTAGAGGACTTAGCCGAGAGCTAGGAGGGGGAAAGAGTTCTTCAGCGAAGAGAATTCTCCCCCATGAGGAAACTTCTCCAACTAGCACGCTTGAGGAAGAAATCTTGGTGAAGTTGAATTCTGAATCCTAATTGCTTTAGGATTTGCAGCAAAGAGGATCATGGTGGAGGTTGAGAGCTATTTTAAGAGTCCTACATGAATTCTGTTCTTCATAAATTCATATTTTATGGAATAAGAATCATAGAAGATAAAGGAAAGACCACGAGAAGAGAAATCCAAGTCCTAGCCGATTTCCTCTTTGGATTTCTACTAAAGAAAGAGTTTGGATTCTACTTCATTTTGGAGGACTCTTTGCTTATCTTCAACACAACCACTTCAATAAGAAATTAATAAATTATTAGAAGCCTAATCCGAATGCAAGAGGGAGATTGAGTTCGGCCACACCAAGGACTTTCTTCCAAGAGAGAAGACTTTTAATTTTACTTGATTTACGTCTTTTTAAGTCTTATTTTAATAGTTTCTAAATTAAGTTGTAATTAGAGTTTTTCTAGGATTTTGTTTTTGAGTTCAAGTAGAACTAGTAATGCTTATGCCTACATAAAAGCCTTACTTCATAGGTTGTAATCATCACTTTACAAAATCAATAAAATTCAAGATTATTTTTGCTTCAGCTTTGGCTATTGGGAGTGTTTTTCGAGAAAGTTCTTCAACCGACTCGTTGAATCAGGAATTGAATCTACTTATCGAGGTAATCTCGTAGCGTCTTTTCAAATCTATTTAATTGTTCTCAATTATTTTAATTTGCAATCACAAATTAATTGTGGGTTAAAGTAGGGAGGGTTTATTAGGAATTTACGTTTTGCATGTTAAAATTGTATGTAGGGTTTTGGATTGCATGTGTTGATCCCGGGTTCCACATCACAAAATAAAACCAATAGCACAAGATCTATATTCTTTTTCCCCCTTGGATTGCATGTTTTGGATTTTAATTTTTTCCACAGCCAACTCTATGTGTTTCAAAGTTCTTTTTATCTGCATCAGACCCCCTGCCTTCTTTCTTGTTTGGCAGTGAGGTGGTGGAGAAAATCTAGACCGCGATATTGTTGATAATTTGGTCCGCATTATGAAATGTAGCACTCTGGTTTGATCAATTATCTATCTTAGGTGTCTCAGTGCCTTATTGAAGAGAGAAGGGGTTTTATCTTGGAAGTGGGGGAGAGTATAGCTTTCTTCTTTTTGGAACCTGGTTGTGGGAAGAATTTCTAAGAGTTCAGGAAATTGGATGGGAGACCCTTTCCCTCTTAGAGGTACAGTGACCTTCCCGTAGTATCTATCTACCACTCTCTTATATACTCTTCAGAATTCCAAATGGTGATAGAAGGATCATGAGATTTCTTGGGGCCAAGAGTTGGTCAGAATGCTCAAGACCATGTTGTAAAATGGGAGGCCTATTTCTTCCTAATAAGGTCAGGTTAGGTCCTGCAAAAAAAAAAAAAAAAAATAGCCATTCTGCCAAATGGTTATGGTGCTCTCCATATGAACCTAACTTTTTATGGCACAACATGGTGAGAAGCAAGTTCGGGCAACTCTAGAATGGTAAAGAACAAGTGGGTTCTCCCACCTCCCACAGAATCCCTAAGAAAATAATGACTCACGTAACCATTTTCACTCGCTTGTCTGAGGGAGGGAGACTGATCTTAGTTTCTTTCTTAGGTGGATAAGTAGATGGGAGACATAATCTTCACGTCTCTTTCTCTTCCATCTTCCTAGAAATTGAAAGTTCTCTAAAAGGAGACAGTGTTTATTTAAAACGTGGTCCTAAATAGAAGTAATACTAGATATTGTCAGATCTACAGATCCAGATTGCTCTTTTCATGTGCTTTCATAGCTCAACATAACAATCACATACTTCCTCCTTATTTGGGATAATTAAGTTTGCCCTCCAATTTTGAATATTTTCGTTTCTAATCTTTTTGTGGTTGTGTTAGGAAAAGTAAATCTTTGTTATCCACAATGGACTATATTTGCTTGTGTTTTACTATTTTATTTGGCGGAAATGCAAGAATCATCTACCAGTAGATCATACTTATTAGGAATCTGTGCTTATCTTCTCTTTGGGCCAAAATGGTTTCTTTAGGGGGTTCCTCTTTCCCCAATACAAAGGGACTGGTGGTAATCTTGTATTAACACATTGTTTTCCCTGTTGCTTTCTTGTTTTCTGGCTTTTTGAATGCATTCCCCATTTCTCTTCAAAAACATTTTCTTTCTAAACATAGGCATGATTTTATTGGTTTTACCTTCTTTTGCAACTAGGCAGATTACCTACATATGTCCACATCATAAATTATAACCCCTTCTATGTACAGGAGTACACCTTTTCCTTATTAAACATATTAGACATACATATACAATATTTACATACATATAAATAAATACATTATCTCCATGTTCCTCACCAATTTCCTTGCACCCCTAGTCCATGTACTTCTTCTCACAATATATTGTGTACATTACAAGAAGTCTGTTATCCATCTGTCTAAATTCTAATGTCAAACTAATAACTAAAACAGTGATACAATAACAACAAACTTAAGGAGTACAACCCTTTCCTTCTTAAACATATTAGACATACATATACAATATTTACATACATATACATAAATATACATTATCTCCATGTTCCTCACCAATTTCCTTGCACCCCTAGTCCATGTACTTCTTCTCACAATATATTGTGTACATTACAAGAAGTCTGTTATCCATCTGTCTAAATTCTAATGTCAAACTAATAACTAAAACAGTGATACAATGACAACAAACTTACAGCAGAATGATGAAACTTAAGTAGATTACCTGGTACTTTTCCTGCATTTCTCGAATTGAAACAGACAATTCAGTCATCGTCCAGCTAAGTGTGTTAAATAAGCGATTTAAAAAATTTGAGAACAACTTTTCATCATTAACACACGCCTCTTTTAGCAACGTCTACAGGACCAAAAAGGAGAAAATGATACATGGTTAGATGCAGTTTCATGTAGGAAACAGATATCAAAGAAAGCAAAGAAAGAATTTAGTCACTCACCTGGAAAATAACTGATGAAGACGATGAAGATTCTCCATGCTTTAAAGAACCAAAGCCTGAACCTTTGCACAATCGCAAAAGTATGTTTGTAACCGGGATCCAAGATCGATTGTCAAATGTAGATAACAATGCTCTGGGCATTTGTTGGGTGGCTGCCTCATTACCCTCAAAAGCTGCCAAATAGTCCTTGTACTGTACCAAGACTGATATAGATTGAAGAAGAAGATCCCTCAGGTCAGCACTTGCTATCCTTGGATCATTGAAATGGATAACCACAAAAGTGACCTGGTGAACAACAAACCAAAATGGTATGGACATCGGGAAGGAATATAGAAAAAAGGGTGCAAATATAGATCTCCAAATTATAACCATGCCCAAATAATTCAAACTTTGCAACCACAAGGAAATGCTCCAAAATATAATGCCCAATAATACAAAAGGAAATTGTGAAAGCTACCATAACCTGACTGTCCTGACAAAAAAATTGTGAAACTTGACAAAAAAAGCTTATTCAGAGACATTTCTCTTCAAATCATCTAGCAGACATCAAAAGAATTCAGGAAACCACATCCACCATCATCATCAAATAATAGACCCTTACAAGTAGATTTAAGTTTCACAATGCTCATCGACATAAACTTTCTGGCTCTTCAAGGAGCAACCAACATTTGTCCAAAAGATTCATTCATTTGTCTTAATGTCAAATAAAAAGTTGAACAATGTTTCTTTTTGGAAAGCCTTTTGGGGCCATATACAGACCACAAAAGATATGAAAAAATGGGCTGCATCACTCATCAAGCAATGCCTGCTCACAAATTAGGAAATCTGATCATCTTTATGGTGTATCGAGGAAGAAGTTTATGAGAGTCAAATTCTTAGCCTTATAGAGACTTCATATATGAGTCTATTCAAGTCGGCTTACGAGGATTTCTACTGACCAAAAAAAAAGGCAAAGCTTTTCCCACACATGCCTCATGCCATCTACTGGACCATTTGTAAAGATTGTTTAATAGAAAAAAAGGTTGTATAAATAAGAGAGGTAATGATAACAAAATCAGAGGATGAGACATCCTCCTCAAAAAACACAACATCAGGAATTACAAAAATGATTCTTGATGGGGAACCAATAAATAAAACCATTCATTTTGGGAAATTTTACACTAAACAAATTAGGAAATTCTAAGTTCCTTTTTACACTAAAAGAAATAGGAAATCTTAATTTCCTTTTAAAGTTTTGGAAAGTTTTGAATAAAAGGAAATAAGAAGGTTTCCTGTCTTCCTAATTCCCTCCTTTTAACTTATTTTCCTATGTTATACTTTCTTTGTTTACAATAAAAGGAAATAGGAATATTCCCTAGTTTCCTTCTATTTAACTTATTTTCATATTTTGTAGGTTTTTTGTTGTATTAGAGTGCTTATAGATATTAACTTAGTCATTAGGTAGACCACTTATGATTATTATTCAAATATTAAGAAATTGTTTTGATTATTGAGATCTAAGATCTCCAAGTTCTATTCTTAATAATTTTTTTTCTAAATGTTCTCTTCAAACTCTCTTTATCCTACATCAGTTGGTATGAGCTTAAAATCAATACATCACATTTCTCAAACTAGATTACTGTTTCAAATTGACTGGGAAAATCTATTCCTTCAAGCATGCAAGTAAACTCTTGCATTCTACCTATATTTTTCATAGTTATACCTACATCTGAAAAGAAAAAAGAAAGTCAACATACAACTCAGCCCTACACTCTCAACCTTCTCTTAGCCTCCCCTTACATTAATTTATTTATTTAAAAAAAAATCTTGAGCCTTACTGTGCATTCTTAAGCAGTTGATAGCATTTTACTTTAAGCAATTATAGCTTTCTCAGCAATTTTATTTTCCTACCATAACTTTTTTTTCGCCATTACCTTTTCTGGTCATCCTTCTTTCATTCCCCCTATTTACATCATGACAGAAAAATCTAACAATATTAAGACCATGAAATTAGTTGTTACAGAACTAAGTAATAAAATTCAAATATTAGAAAAAGGCAAATTCACGATTGATTAGAATCTTGAACTCCTTCTTAAACAGCATGGAACTCATGAAACTTCATATGTGCAAGCTAATTTCTATCACTACGAGACTAAACAAATGGATTAGTCCTCAAGGCTTAGAAAAGACCCTTATCATGACCCTCGTCTTTGTGTGCCAGCCTCTGATAAGGATCAAATCAATCATCTAAGAGATAGGTCTAGATATTCTCAACAAACTAAACAATCTCATCATGACTTTAGAAAGAAAATAATCACCAATAATCTAATACAAGAGTGAAAACATTTCTGACATTATCTAGCAAGTCAAGATAGATGTTGCTAGCTATGATGGTAAACTAGATCCTAATGTCTTCCTAGAATGGCTAGTCAGCATGGAAAATTACTTCGAATATATGAGATGACAGACATAGAAAGAGTCTGATTTGCTAAGGTGAAATTAAGTGGGTCAGCTAGAAAGTTTAGGCAAGTTGCCCAACTCAACCGTGAGCGTTTAGGGAAACCCTGCATAACTCAGTGGCATGTGATCAAACAGAAGCTCAAAGAAAAATATTTACCAACTTACTTCAAGAGACAATTGGTTGACTAATTAAACAGTTGAATACTTGAGTGAGTGATTATATGTCTAGGTTTGAAGAATTACTCCTTAGGTGTGCCCTTGAAGAAGAACGCGACATCATTGTTACTATGTTTATCAATGGCCTTAGGGCATACCTCAAGAGAGAACTCCTATACTACTCCCCTAATTCACTGAAAAATGCGTACACTAGAGCTATGGAAATTGAGAAGTACAATGGAAATTTTGTAGTCTGCCATACAAGCTACCAAGAGCCCTGACCAACTTGGTCAAGGATACAAGATGGTATTCATTGAAATGATGAATCTAGTATCTCCAACCATCACCTTACAGCCACCAATTCTGTTATTCCTTATCCTAGGGGCTCTTCCATAAAAACTCATGCATCGTTTGTAATACCCAAATTAATTTTTGTAATTTAAATTAATTTATAAATGTAATTTTTAAGATTTTTTTAATTTAATTTAATATAAAAATAAAGAAAATTTGAAGGATGATGAAATTGAAAATAATTTTAAAAAAAATATGTGAAAATTTGGGTTCTGAAGGAATTTTTGAAAGAAAAATCAAAAAACTGATGGTTGAAATGTAATTTAGGAAAGTTGTGCCACGTAAGATATCCGTTTAGCAGCTCTGACAAACCAAAATGCGCCGCATGGCAACGGACGTTGACGCAGTGCCACGAGAGTGATCCGCGTGCCCGCGATCAGACAGCCTAGATCCGCTCCCGCGCGCACAGATAACTCAGATGCGTGCACTCCTTAGACGCGATTGGACGATCATATTTAAATGCGATCAACAGTCCAAATCTACTTCCTATTTAATCACGATCAGACGGTCCAGATAAAACGCAATAAACGGTCCAGATCAAACGCGATGAATGACTCAAATTAAAAGAGGACGAGTATAAATAACCCTCTTCACACCAAACCCTAACCTTAGTCGCCAGACACCCTCGTCGGAGAAGAAGACCCAGCCGCCGCCACCTGCCGCCGTTCGGAGCCACCTCCGACCGCTAAAAGAGGTAAATATTTTTCCTTTTGCTTGGAATTCAATTTTAAACACCTTCATGGCCAAATCGGAGCAAAAAAATCAGCGAATTGGCCGGAAACTACAGGCAAATTCTGGCGATGCCGTCGCGAAAAATTTCAAAAATCGCCTCCGATGAGATCCTTCCCGATTCCTGTTCTGCGAAATTTTTTCATCGTTGTAATCACCGTTTTCTTCTCTACAGGTTAACCGAAGCAAAACACCCAACTGCAAAAATGAGCCGGCAGAACACCGCACTAGAGAGCCCTGCCGTCAGTAAGTTTCAATTTTTCGTATTTTTTGGCCAACCGAGACCTCTTAACGTGTTTTCTCGCAGGGATTGATACAAAACCGGCCGAAAATAACCAACTCGAGGTGGGCTGTCGTTGGAGCACAGCAGCTCTTCTGGAATTGGCCAAAAAAAGGTGTCTTGACACTGTTTTTGGGTTTTTTGTGATATTTGTAGATACTTATAGCACATTTTAATCCTGAAGAAAAATTCAAGGAATCTGGGGTACCGCTGGTAGGTGCAGTCAACGAGCTTCGCTTTTCGGGCATCGAATTGAGTAAAAATCTCTAACCCTATTTTCTGTTATGAAATTGAAGTCAAATTAACAATAATAAGGTGTTTTATATAATTTAGAAAATATGCATAATTAATTACGGGTTATTAATAGAGTCAGAACCGAAAATTATCTACTGTTGTTTCTGTTAATTGTTTTTATGATTTGAATGCATAATAGTATCTGATTGATCGATTTCATAGTTTTGAATGTATGTATTGGTTGTTTTATGTGTTTACGGTTGAATTGGGAAAAATTGATATTAAAGGAAAACAGAAAATTGTGTGATTAAGTGAATAGATGAAACGACAACCTTACTGGATATCCTGCAAAATGGTGGACGGACCGGGTACATAGAAAAGCCTACCGTGAATGTTACTTCATACTGGACTGGGTATCGAGATTTGGTAATTTGGCACCTATACCGGACGGGGTATGAGGACGACCCGTTTCACCCTCATACCGGACGGGATATTGAGATTTAGTAGTTTGGTGCTCATACCGGACGGGATATGGGGACGGCCCGTTAATTTAAAAGGTTAAAGAAAAGGGTTCACACGTTGTGGAGACATCCCTATGAACCCCCATGGATACCAGTAGGCTAATAAAATGATAAAATAGTTGTTCAAATCGATTATATATGAAATCATGATCTGTGTTATATTATTGTATTTATAAATTGTTTTGTAAATTTCACTAAAGTAAGTAGATGATAAAAGATTTTATTTATGATAAATGAATTTGTTTAATTAAGAGTTCCATTAGTTGTTTTTTATTTTTCTATCAACCTTCATTTTTGTGTCGGTGAGTAGCGTGATATTCTTACTGGGCTAGTGTACCTTATTCCTTATTTAACCATTTCAGATCAAGAGTACCAAGATCCAGATATCAATCTACAAAAGGGTTGAGAGTAGAATATTAGTTTTATTTATTTTCTATTTATTTCCTTAATTTTTGTATTTCCTTTAAAAAAGGTAATTCTCATAACACTTTTTGGTACTTTAAATTATTGTGTAAGGAATGTAAACACTAATTAATTATTTCGCTTCCGCACTTAATTTATGATTTATTTCATTT